AAACGCGCTTTGAGTATGGATGAAGGAAGCGATTTTCCAAGAAGGTGAATATCATTAGTTCAACCCACGATCGTGCTTAGACAATCTATTAAGAAAACCAGCCATGAAAATTACTGATATGGAGAAAATCTATACAATGAATTTTGAGTATCATATGTAGTATAAAGATTTTTATTGTATTTTCATAGTCAATCTTAACAAAAAAGGTATGCTTTAATGCTGCAGATTGCACTGAATGTCTTACCTTTCAGTACAAACATTACAATGGAAAGTTTGCTGCTATATACGCAAATATAGAACACGTATCGCAGGTTCTAAATGAAACCTAGCTAAACTTAAAGGATGATTTTTTTTTAATTGTTAAGTATATCTTGACATATTATATTTTAGTACTAACATAGTATACATAATACTTGGTACATAATATACATATACATAATAATTCATAATACTTACATAAGAAATGGTATTAAACTTAATTCTATACAAAAAATTATAATACAATATTTAGCTTTTTCTTATACCGTTAGAGACTATTGGCTCTTACTTCAAATAATATTTGATCTATTTAATTGTGATTTGTCTACGCCTCCCGATGTCATTATTTTTCCTTCTTGGTGATATTCTGATACATTTATTTTTTCATCTTCGTAATATATCTTATGTTTTAACATCCTTTCACATACCCTTTTCATCACATACATGTTTTCCTATGCTTTCTCATGCACTGAAACCCAATTGTACAATTAGGTTTCTTTTTCAGAAATATTACCTTTAACCCAGCTACATGCTGTTCATAAATGTTAACCATAAAATACCCTTGATATTTGAAATGCCTTCCAAAATCTTATCTTTCTTGAACCTTTTCCCTCAATTACATTTCGTGGAGTGAAGTGATTCGGTAAGTGGGTATCCATCGAATTCTTAGACACCCTACTTCTATTAGAGGATTCGAATTTCACATTTACTTGAGACAACAATTTCTTATGGCAGTGTTAAAAATAGAGACTAGATATTCTTATACATTTAAGTAAACTGAAAGTGTATTTCTTAATGGTCAAGTTTTTGCAGAGCATCGCTTATTTGCATGCAGCAAAGCTTTAATTGTATTGTTATAGTTTATGTTTTCTGTAAATAATCCTTAGACTCATTATTAGGATATAATTACCAATCAATAGAACAGTAAATTTCCCAATGAGCAGCGACATTGCTCTTTAAAGAGAGCTGAATTGTAGTTACAATATTCAAAGATATGTCTACAATGATCATTCGGAGTTCCTTACGGGTTCACTGTTTACTGTACAATAAAACGATACCTGCTAACGTGTTATGGATTTTTACTCTTCAATTTCAAAAGACTAGGTAGTCACGTAGGTAGGTACAAAAAGGAAGAAACAGTAATTTTATGTGATAAAATTCAATATTACACGTAGACACTACGCACATAGACTAAAACCAGTCAGGAGTGCACTCTATTGTTAGTATCTGATTCCATATATCATAGAAACTTATCAATGTTATTTTTTATGCTTATATAATATAAATACTATGTAACAAGTGCTATAAAATAAAGGCATAAAGTAAAACGAAGGAATTATTGATCAACTGACCATATAAAATGAAATAATAAACTCAGCTACAATGGATTTATACTTCTATATCAGTAATCAATTCACACAATCTATGGTTTAATTATTTTTATCTAAATTTTATTATACGAAATTATTATTTTTAAAAAGCCTTTGCGTAATAGATATATTAATATGATAAAATTTGCCTAAGAAGATTGATTTTTTTTAAATTATTTTTAAGACTTGTAATGGGTCTGCCGTTACGAGTCTTAAAAGTAATTAAAAATAAAATTTGCGTTTATCAATTTCTCCATTTAATTTCGGGATAAACTCCTCTTCAGAAGGAAGATCATAGATGTTTAAATTCATATCTGGTACTAGTTTATAAAAATATAATTTGAATCGTTATGTATTTTAAGATAAGCTTGACTCGGTCTTCCGAAATCTAGAAGTGTAACATAACGTATTAACTTTGAAGTAAACAAATCCTATTGGACTACTTTTACTTACATGGTTTTCTGTCATACAACAGCAAGGACACCCTTCTTATAATAAAACAATTTTTATAACAAACAAATAAGTATTTGATTAGTAAATAAAATGTCAAACGGAACCCTGAAACCTCCACGAGCAACAGCGAGCACGTTTATTCACTCGTATATTTACAGCGAGGATTTTCTGATTTTATCGGGATTTTCCGACACTATTCATCGCTAGTCTTTTCCTTTGTTTTCTAAATTCTGCCAGTTTTGTAATTTCCAACTTTGAAACAATTTTATTTTTGTAGCAGATGTTCCAGTCAACAATCGTATTCAAGCTTATTTTCCTGGTATGTAAATCAAACAATAACATTTAATGTTTTGATAGACATAGGGAATATCACCATAATATATTAACGGACAGTTTAAATATGCATATATTTATTATTATAAATATATATATATATTTCTCAAGTAAAAACCAGTATGTGAGAAATTAAGAGGAATCTTAATAAAAATAATAAAAAAACAAGATTTTCTTGATATAACTATTTAGTTACTCATATTTTCTATATATATATAGATTTCATTGAAGTAGTGCTAGTTGGTAGTTTGTATTTACACACTTAAACTTACAAATGTAAAGAAATAATTAAATTATTTAAAAGAGCAACACGCAAATTTCTTGTTCATTCTTCTTATGATGAGACAGCTTTCCGAATGAGATAGATAGAAAAAAAATGTGATTACTATTCAAAAATCTTTCAATGTAAGTTTATTTGAATGAATGATTTTCTATTCTATTGTATTCTAAATGTTATGACGAAGTTCATATACAATTTACGCGAATTTAATCAAGTTTAGTGAACATTATTGAAAAATCGTATACCTACTTTTAAAAATCACCCTTATCCAATGTCTTGGGGTCGGGGTACGAATAAACCCAGGCTTAGGCAGTAGGCGATGTGCGACGTATACTAAAGTCGCGTGGATCCCCACTGTGTGATCGACTATCCCAAGATTGCTGATTTCTATCTATCTATAGATATTTATATATACATGTATACTTTAACTTAGACACTTAGTCTTAAATGACTACTGCTTACAGGACATCACAATGATACTATTTTAGACCTTCATATAATTCTAATTACGTGATACAAATAAAGTGAAAGACTGAAGTGTATAAAATTGTACTATACTGCATACAATATCAATAGAATAATGAAATCCAAACCCGAATAAACTTCAAATCAAGACATGATATTACATTCTGTTGGTACGATCTAAAAGCATACAGAATATCAAACACTTAAAAATTCAATTGGGAGAGATATATTTTATTCTTAAAAGAGAAAAGTTTCCTGAAGAGGACGATATTTTGTATCTTGAATAAAACAGTCAAGCACTCTTTCATGGTAATTCAAAATTAATTTAAGTTCTTTCGTATTATTAGTTATATAAGTTGCAACATCATGACATCCTATTCTTCAATTATATACAAATGGATGTAGATAATAACAAAGTTTCTCAAAATAATTGTAACTTTCAAATTGCATAAACAAAAAAATTTACATCTATAAACATCGTAAATTAACCTTGATTTATGGTAACAACGAAGTTCGTTTCGTTTTATACGAAAATTACACGCCCACGGTGAAGGCGAGGCAGACGGATGAGCGATTAATCCAAATTTAACCATTTTATTTAACCCTTTCTCGGTTATTAACCGAATAAGGTGTGAATTAATTCTTCAACCGACATACCTCCCTGTCAAACCTTTTACGTCGTTAAAACGTACCGTTGCTGTTTTAAGTGTAATTAAATAATTTGGTGCTTTAATAAAATATAAATGGGGGTTACTCTTATCTATTACGCCTAAATGATATTTTATTCGCGTACTAATCACATAAATATAAATAAAATTATATATAACACTTCTAAAAATACATCTTGTAATGAGATCAACTGTTAATCTTAGTCGCGATATAGTAATCAAATAAGAAACAAATTGAATAGCGGATATTAATTCGAGGGTATTGAAATGATACAGATCAATACAACTTTCTGTCTATAATATAAATTAATCAGCCACAAATGCACTAAAAATGTAGAATAAATATTTTATTACCATTAGGGGTGTCAGGGAGTGGTGTTCCGGTATTATACGGAAACGTGGCCAAGAAACTACCCCTGCAATCAAAATAATTAGAAATTATAGATAGTATATTATCTACTATTGTATAATGTACCTATTAGAGAAAATCATTTTATTTACATATGTTTATAAATACCTACATGTTTTGTTTGGTATGTTAAATATAAATATTGAGTGCTAAAAGCAATAGCTATTTAACTGATGTCCATATTATGTGTATATATGTCTGCCTAATTATTTTTCTTCTGAATCGTGGTATAAAATAACTGACAATATTGACGATACTTTCAATTTTTATTCTAACAATAAATAAAAATAATATGATATCACAGTTAAATATATTCATATATTATTGAAATAATTCAATTTTAAAATAAATGTTCATGATCATAACACTAATTTTATATAGAAATTATCCAGCATAGTACAATATATGCATTCAAAATAGGATTACAATACATACAAAACTATACCTACTAGTACATGTAAAATTAATCACACCTCGTTTAGAAATGCGATAATTCTTCGCAAACGAAAACGACCAATATAATAAAAACAATCATTAATGAATGCCCATTGTACCATTCACGTCTCCAACTAAATAAACAAACTAAACGACCAGTCATTTCTGAGATAGCAATCGAAAGTTCTACTAAACACCATTAAGACGGTGTATTTGGTAACGATTAACATACCATGCAGCATTATTTAGCGAGTTTCTGTGGATGTAATGTGGCGTGACGTGGTCTATGTCATAATATCGAAGGCATAGGTTATCATTTTGTTATTCCGCGTTCGCATCTCGACGAATGAACATAGATGTTATTTGTGCAATGTGAAATTGAAAGGAAATGCGACTTGTTCTGTTTTTGACATTTCTTGAGTGTTTTTGTGCAATTTTGTGCTACGACATGATTGTAGGTGACACTGTGCATAAGAAAATGGTGTTCCATCAGAGGATAAAAGATTTTGCGATACCTTTCAAGAAAAGAATCAAAAGTTTGACTTATAATGACCCGGAGAAAAGAACTATAAAGGTAAATACTATTATGGTTTGCACTTATTACTTTACTTCTAAATTTTAATTTATTCTTCTATTAGATTAGTTATTAGAATATCGTAACTTTGTATAAACCACAAAAATAGAAACAGTATTATTTTTATTTAACATTTTTCAACATGCATAAATACAGAGAAGTGTAATAATAAACATTGTATATCATAACTAAGATTATGAATTATGTTTCGACATACACAATGATGAAACTTAAATATTTAGTATAGGTTAGTAATGTGAACTGTTGACCCCATTACCTTCAATGGACCATGTCAGTTTGACCTCCACGCGATTTCTGGAAAATCCTGATAAATTCCTGGTGAAAATCGATCACGATGGGCTAACTGACCTGACCTCATGTTCATCTTATCGTCCTCCACTGGTACCCTACCAGTAAACCGTTAGCGCAGGCGCCATTCCATTGTATTCCATTAAAATAACTCTTTATTTAGAAAATACTTTTAAATTATATTTATTTACTTCCTTCTACAAGTCATGTAAAATACAAATACCTACATATTTGTATTTTTTTATTTTAATAATGAATACCGAATTGTGTACCCTCCTTCCCTAACGGTAAACGCTATCGGGATACCCGTGGTTAAGGAAAGAATAAACATGAAGTTAGAAGTCAGGTAAGTGTGGCTAACTAGTCAGTACAAATTCACCAGGAATTAACCATCACGGTACAGGAGAACGTCGTAATAGTACAATAACTGCTTTAGTATTACTTAAGAATTTTTCTTTATACATATATATTGTAGAAACTACAGTATTTTTTTCGATTCGTGTATTTAAATAAAAGTTATATTGAAATAATATTTGACTAAAGCTCTCTAATATGTTAGCAGTATGTTTTCAATCAACCCTGTCCACCAACCGACTTTAAAAATAAGTATTAGGTTCTATATTCATAAATTTACTTTTTTATTGAGTTAGACCAATTTCTATCACTTTTAGTCCTTCATGGGAAATTTTAAATTATTATAGAATACCTATATATAATATTATTAGAATTGATGTTCACATATAATTATAAAACTGTGTGAACATCCCATTAAAATAAACTATAATCATGTCGCAAAACATTGACCCAATAATTTAAATGTGACAATGGCATTGGTACTCTCAAAGCTGATAAAAATACTTCTCCTTATCTTATGCAAATTTCTAACTAGAGGTCGATAATAAAAGCGAGGTCAAGCCTTTTTTATGCATCGCGATGGATGTTACTTCAACCTACGGTTACGATATATGCCAGAGGAGTACCAACGGAAGATAATGATTTCTTTTTGGAATTATTCTATTGCTGTTGGTCGCAACTGGCCTATACAGCTTCAGCTTTAAAGACCATGGGGGGCGACTACAAATGGCATTCCAAATCAGCAGAATGAATGAAGCGGCTGATTCCGGCTGACGGCTACTTTACTCTGAGGACACCGCCAGGGATTCGAATCTTGGCACAAGCCGTCGTAATATCGATCTCCGATGGAATTCAATGGGGAATCGATCGGAGGAGATAGACTCACAATAACGGTTGTATATATCAATAGCAGTCTACATTTACTTGATCATTTGAATATATCTGATGTTTCAATATACATATTTCAAGGTTACGACAAAACAATGCATACATATACCAAACAATGTGTAACTACCATCAATTCTCGCACTATTTATGTATAACCAAACGACATTGTCACTAAGTACATTACTTATTATTATTCATTACCAGAACATTACCTCGCCGATAATTGCAGCCAATTGTATATTAAAACAAGTTTAAAGTATTACGTATATGGTCTAGTTTTCTTTAATATAATAATAACTATTAGCTTTTTGGCGAAGAAAATGTCTTTATAATTGTCATAATTATTTAAATTGCATCTCCACAATTAAATTGAGATAGCTCTAAGAAACTTGGATTTCACATCTAAATGTATTTTTGACAAGTATGAACTGGTATGTATGTAACTGATGTTGGAAAATACACTAAAACCAATATCCAATATTTTTAAATTATATACATAGATATATATTTCGACTACTACTAGAATGTTGTAGAGTTTAAATAAAATAACAATTATTAGTTTTTTATCAATCACTTACCACACAGCGACAAACTACAAAAACTAAGTATAAAACTTGCACACAAGTTACACTAAGATAACACGTATATATTATCTTAATACTAGAGTTACACAGCTATACAATTTTTTTCAGTACATAAATACTTTTGTAAATATATTATATACAGGAAATACTCATATCCACTATATGAGTCCAAATATTAATTGTGCGGCAATTAAAATCCCCACCAATGGAACGTGAGGCAACTCACTACTAGGCAATACTAAATATATCAAGTAGTAACATAATTAAAATAAGAATAATCTTCTAATTTTTAAGTATTTTGTTTCAGGGTATAGCAACCATAGACAATGATTTCTCTCATGCGAGTGCCAACATCACTGATGGAGGAGTAGGCTTCTCATACGTCACAGTTCGAATGAAGAGCCAGAGACACCATCCCCTCAACTTTGAAGTAGAAATATACGTATAGCATCAAATTTCTATCTAATATACAAAAATACTAAAATAAAATTAAAATAATTTTTACTATTTAGTTTTCACTGAAGTTTATATTAAATCTACATTAATTTTGTTAAGTTTAACCCTTTCACCATTTGAAAGGTATACTATTCCAAATGCATTTTATGGACTTATATGTTTCACCCGCGAAATGAGTATGAGCAACTATTAGATGAGATGTAAACTAATATATAATTATTATCAAAGATTTTTAATAATGAAATAGTTGTTCTACCATCTAGGATTATTTGTAGAACAGCTGTATTAATTATGTAAATAGTACACCATCACATTTGGTTACCATTCAATTTGTAATGTATGATTACATTTCAATCAAGATATCAATAAACATGCATTTCGCCCTAAGTTCTAATACTTTGTGTATTGTACGAAGCTTATTTAATCCTATTATAAAACAAGTTTTTTCATCTCTTATTACTACTGAAGTAGTAGACCGTCATTAAGCTACAGACTGTAGCATATTGTTACTTGTGTATTCTTATTAAACAGTTTTCTTATATATAGTTATAGGTCCTAATTACGTTATGAAATTACGGTAGTATACAACAAATTTTACGATATAACAAATGGTGTAAACCTCTAGTTTCATAATGTAAACATGACATAATATTACAAAATATAATAACATAAGTACTAAGCAATCACGTTGCACATAAGCAGTGTCACTAAATTGATGTACACAATCTGAATAGAATTAATAAAAATTTCTCGCGTAAATGAACATTAACTAAAATTAATAGTACAATACCTACAGTTATATAAATTAAGGTTTTAAATAAGTGTTACAATGTTTAAGAAATGAGCTATGAAATAAAAAATGACAACCATGTCCTTTAAAAATGTTACTGTTCATTTCGCAGTTCGTTTTTATTACTGTTGCAATAAAATTATAATCATCTTCATTAACATGTAAGTGGGTAACGTAAAACAAGCTATTATATAAGAATGTCTATAAACAACACTTTACATATGACTTTTAAGATATTGGACCCTTTTTCAATGATGAATTAAATATGCCTTCGTTACGTAAGTAAATATTGAAATTGATTTAAAATCCACAATGTAGGAGTTGAGTCTTTAATATGTAAGTTTGGTTTATTCGGTCATAGCGAATGATATGTAAATATTACGAGATTACTAACCTATCATTTTTATAGTTATATTATGTAATTGATTACGTAAACAATATATCAAAACAAATACGACACAGGCCGCAAATTTATAATAGATTTTTTTATTTATTATAGCTTTTCATTCCGCATTAATATAATAATGTTTTGTAAAATGTTTTGTTTATAATATGTTCAGTTAATTTATTTATTTTTCTTATTATGTGGTATGTTCCCCCATTGGGAAAATCCTTCTCTATTCTCTGTCCATAACAGTCTGTATTCAATTTTTTCCCGCATTATTCTTGAGGAAACCCGGTTTCTGCAATGTGTGTAATGCAGGTCACTCTTAGGATAGCTTCTGGCAATGCGTGACAATTAAGAATGCCTGAAGATACAGATCCATAATATCCAGATGTCAACCTGCCTTATTTGTCACAAACGAAATCTGATCCAACCCTCTGTTCAGAGCAGTCAATGGAAGGTAAATATTACCAAATCCTTTTGGATTAACCAAAAGGATTTGGTAATATATCTGTATAATACTCTTGAATGTTAGCTCCCTAAAAGACTCTAATCAGATCTTCAGGTCTCTTGGTAATCCCATATGTATTGTATTCAATTAGTTAATTCGAGCCAGATGAGAAACGAAGACAGGTGGTGGTTAGAAACTGGAGATCTAAAAAAAGTGCTACAATATTACTTGAGGCAGATATCTCCCCAAAATGTATGAAGTAAAAAGCCCATGAGTGGGTTATGGCAGTAGTAATTCCATTAATACTTGACCTCTTTAGTGTCTAACTATGTCGTCTAAATATTCGTCCTTCCATATTTACCTCTTGAATAGTTTGCCTTGGTTTTAGAACTGCTCCTGCTGAGACATCTTGTCAAAAATTACTAGGGCATGACCTCAGGAAAATTGATATGGTGCTGGTGCTTTGATTGTCTGCAATTCGATGTAAGTGTTACTGTTGCAAATTAATTGAAAATATACCTATATAATACATACACATGGAAAAGTTGTACAATATTTATAAACTAATTATATCTGTTTCATACATTTGCCTATTGCAACCAAATCGCAATCGCAGTGTGTACATAAATAGACACGACGAATATACAAACTAAAAAATTTTAAATAAAAAATAAAATTTTAGTTCCTTTTAAAATGTATATAATGTATTAAAGATAAATTTGTAACGGTAATAAGTATGTGTACAAATTAATTGAAATCTTTTATTGTCGTACCTCTACATATATATGTAATTATTTTATAAAGAACGGAGAAGAAAGGAAATACAAATAAACAAAACTACAAGATACATGTCATTTTCATTCTAACAGTATTTTAAATATCAAAATCAAATTTAACTTTTGTTATTTCATGTCAATTCGTTTTCAACATCCTGGTGAAGAAATTTCCTCTACAATTTAATTTCACGCCTGTCAGTCTCTGAAAACAAAGCCATATAGGTACCGAAATGGTGGATGGATCGCATTCTATCTCACATTAATCTATGCGAATGTCAGTTCCATTTCATATTATTTATTTAAAAAGATTTTTATTACGTTTCATGACAAAAAAATATTCAATATATCCTCCTCATAAATCAGTAGGTACAGATATATCTTAGGTGATATTAAAACAAAGTGAAAAAGGGAAATACAGATGCTTACTATGTGATACGTAGTTTTTGTGGAGAGAGGTATAATAAATCAGAGAGGCCACTTGTGGTCAGACCAAAGAATATGGGGTAACATAGATTTATAGAGGATTCTTTTTTGTTCGGAAATTGTCATGGGTTTGTGAAATATAGACTAGTAAGTAAGTACTAAGTAAGTATGAGAAAAGTGATTAAATTTACATATCGCGTACGACCATACAGAAATGAGGGCATGCAATGCAGATGAGGAAGTCATTTATCGATCAAATCAATTGAGTAATCAAACTGTCTTTTATTTGTTTAAAATTTGGGTGCGCTGTTTGCACTTGATTGCACAGTGATGTAAGTTGTTTATTTACTTAAAAGGTAATAAAAATAATATATTAATTAGAAAATTAATTTAATTTAATTATATTATTATTATACACATACGCAACACATATAATATATATCTACGCAGTGTTACCTTTTATACTAAATATTCAAATAGCTTTGCCTAATCTCATAATTATGTTATTCACCCGCTTATGTCTGTAATAAATATGGATGTGTTTTAGAGATGCTACTGTTTCATCAAAGGAACCGGAAGTTGCACAGTCCCATAGGATAAACAAAAAGGGTAGGGTTTTTGCAAGCCCTCCGTTATTAATGTAATAACTGGCACTTTGTTTTATGCGAGTTTCTACTTTCCTAGTTTGTTCTTGTAACAGAGCGACCACCGAACCAGGAAACCACCAAAATACTTTTCCTTTATGAATATTATATCAACTATTATGAAAGCATTGGAGAAAGTGTTATGGCATATAAAAAGGCTAATCTTAACAACACAATTTCTAAATATAGGTCTACACAAAACGTTTTGTGTTCTTTATTATGTTATTTATAAGCAACTTCATCCTTCTAATATATAACACCTAGTTATTAGTATGTTAGTGTTAAAAATTATATTATAATTACAGCAAACAGATAGTCAGAATAAATATATCTACCAATAAGATCTCTAAAATCGTATATTAAAATCTAGCACATACTTAAAACTATGTGAGTTATTTAAAATTTCCAAATAGTTATTCAATAAATAGGTACATGCACTATTAATAATCCAAATGAACCAGAGAGATAGTGTGTAGGTGTAGTGTGGGTGCCTTTAATCCATTTTTGATTAAAATAATACGGAAAAATTGGATACAATCAATTATTACGTGCACGTATTTTCGACGTAGTCGTGTAGTTATAACTTCACCTTATCAATTTCTGTTTTACATTCTCTATTACTTATGTTGTTTTAGATGAATCAATAAAATATAAATCGATATACTAAAAAAATTTCAAAATATGTATAAAACTGTATGATCATTTATTATCAACACAAAATAGATCACAAGACCTTTTATCTCATAAATTAAAAGTTTGTGTGATGATAGGATAATTTCCCGAGTAAATACCTACATAATTCTAAGTAGAGAATACTTAGAATTCAAGTCAAATCAGAAGTAAGTCAAGATCAAATAGCACTTTACTTAAATAAGAAAGTGAAAATCATAATAACGGATTTAATACAAATACCACAATCTAAGTTGAATGAACTTTGATAGCATGGACTTAACAACAGACTGTGACTGGACTAAAAATATCCACATAGGAAGTAGGTTAATGACTCCCCTTCAATACAATCACCCCTTAGTAGCATCTTCACAAAAAATATGTGTAACACAAACAAAATTACAAGACAGGGTTATAAGCATAAAGCATTAATAAAGATACTCTATCGACCCGCCTGAATTAGCTTAAGCATTTACGCTTATGTTAGGAAATATAAACTTTTTACTATTTATATCCTATTAATATTATAAAGGCGTATTGTAAGAATGGATATTTGTTAATCTTTCACGCGAAAACAACTAGAAGAATTATAATGAAATTTGGTAAGTAGATATTCATATTTGGTAGTCCATCTTATAATCTTTAGACATGAATACGTTCTTTCCTATATAGATATGTACGGTCATATAAATATATTATATGACCGTACATATCTTATGAAAGTATTTTATGTCTACAATTCATAAACATTATGTATATACTACATATCTTCGGCAATTAAATAAAATCTACTTCCAATAGTAACAATGTTAAGGTAAAGAATCTCTATTTTTAAAGCAATTTCGTTTTACTACTCTCAATTTAATCTGGCCTTCGTAGAGTAATATAGAAAAGAATAATACTTTGGGAACTAGAAACTCTTTCGAATTTACCTTTATGGCTCCGCCAGTTTCTT